GCTCCAGCCCCCACAAATAAATGCACACAGAACCAGTGGCTGTGTTCTCCACCCATTCTCTCACATTCGTAATGCATTTCTTTGCTCTAAGAGGAATGCAGAGTTTCTGTCTCTAAAAGATCTCTGTTTTTGAACAATTCTCTCCTATCTATTTATAATAAATATAAAAACCTAGAGGGAAGTAAAGGACAGTGAATGTTTATTATAAACTCAAACTTCTGTCCACTATTTTCTGACCTTTCAAACTGTTGGAACCAAATCTTGTCCTAATTCCCTGCTGGCAAAACTCTGTGACAAACCCAGGTGGATTGATGGCTAGAAATGGAACGTCCTCTCTGGGCTGTCTTGTGGCTTTGGCTACCTTGGAGACTCTTCATTACCACCCCATCTCATGACTTCTGTGTTGTGTTCTTTTTGTTCAGTCACTAAGCCATGTTGGACCCTTTGTGACCCCATGGACTGCAGCATGCTAGGCTTCCCTGTCCTTCACCATCTCCCAGAGCTTGCTCAAACTCATGTCCATTGAGTCAGTGGTGCCATCCAGTCATCTCATCTGTCGCCCCCTTCTCCTCCTGCCTTCAATCTTTCCTACCATCAGGGTCTTTTCTAATGAGTCAACTCTTTGTATCAGGTGGCCCAAGTATTAGAGCTTCAGCTTTAGCATCAGTCCTTCCAATGAATATTCAGGGTTGATTTCCTTTAGGATTGCCTGGTTTGATCTCCTTGCTGTCCAAGGAATTCTCAAGAGTCTTCAACACCACAGTTTGAAAGTATCAATTCTTCAACACTCAACTTTCTTTATGGTTCAACTCTCCCATCCACACATGACTACTGGAAAAACCATAGCTTTGATTAGGTCAACCTTTGTCAGCAAAGTAATGTCTTTGCTTTTTAATATGCTGTCTAAGTTTGTCATAGTTTTTCTTCCAAGGAGCAAGTGTCTAGGTTTGTCATAGCTTTTCTTCCACGGAGTAAGCGTCGTTTAATTTCATGGCTGCAGTCACCATCTGCAGTGATTTTGGAGCCCAAAAAATAAAGTCTGACACTGTTTCCACTGTCTCCCCATCTATTTCCCATGAGGTGATGGGACCAGATGCCATGATCTTAGTTTTCTGAATGTTAAGCTTTAAGCCAACTTTTTCACTCTCCTCTTTCACTTTCATCAAGAGGCTTTTTAGTTCCTCTTCACTTTCTGCCATAAGGGTGGTATCATCTGCACATCTGAGGTTATTGATATTTCTCCCAGCAATTGTGATTCCAGCTTGTGCTTCATCCAGCCCAGCATTTCTCATGATGTACTCTGCATAGAAGTTAAATAAGCAGGGTGACAATATACAGCCTTGACACACTCCTTTCCCAATTTTGAACCAGTCCATTGTTCCATGTCTGGTTCTAACTGTTGCTTCTTGGCCTGCATATAGGTTTCTCAGGAGGCAGGTAAGCTAGTCTGGTATTCCCATCTCTTTAATCTCCAAATCTTAAAAACAAGGAAGATTGTGTATAAGAGAGAATCTTTGTGGTAAGAAGCCTACTCATCAGCAACATTCATCAGCCTCATATCTAGAGAAGACTTTTCTGGCCCAAATATTTTATTGTTGCTTCTTTACTTATTTAGCCCTTTGCAAATCCCTCTTTTTTACTCCTACTCTTGCTCCTGGCTTCTCTTCATATCTGATATTTACCAAATGACATTACCCTGTCCCCTATTCCTCATGGACCAGAGTCATGGGGAAAAGCAGCCAGGGCTTCATAGACACCTGGTAAATCTCCAGAGGGTTTTTTTGTGGCTACAAGGAGCAGGATGGCTTCAGAGATGTGGGTGGTCTCAGTTCATCTATTCTGCAAACAGTCTGGTACCTGTGAGTGAGTGTCAAGCACTGTCCCAGCCATAGGGGAACAAGGATGAACGTTATAGTTCCCAGCCCACAGAGCAGCAGAGATTTACCCAGGAATGGGGGTCACCAGATGAAACAAATAGAAATATAGGATTTCTATTTAAATCCAGTTAAATTTCAGGTAAAGGGTAAATGATTTTTTAGTGTAAATATAATCATTTTAATATAGGACAATACATTTTTTACTATGTCCCATTAGAGACATAACCTATACTAAGAAAAATTGTTGTTTATCTGAAATTCAAGTTTGGCTGAATGCTCTATATTTTACCTGGCAACTCTGCAACTAGAGGCACCTGACCTCACCTTGGGTCAGTGGAGGTCTGAGGATAGCCCATAACTTCTTTCATGCCTGGAGGGCCCTCAGAGGGATGCTGTAAGGCAACCTGAAGGTGCAAGAAGACATGCTGTCAGATACCGGAGCTCTGACACACAGCTCATGGTGCCTCACAGCCCCCACTTGGTGACTGGAGACAGGGGCCGGGAGGGGACTGAGTGGCTGGCCTCTCCTTAAATCTGATGCCAAAGCATTCTCCAGGGGTCATCAATGCCTCCCTCCCATGATATGGAATATTGATCTGTCTGTGTCTAGGTCACTGGTGTTTTCTTACTACATTAACACAATGCCTAGACAAGGAAAGATAAAACTACCATCATAATAATAACAGCAATTGATGGTAATAATAAAATTTAACATCCCCTGACTTCTTCTTTTGTGCTAAGAGCCGTGCTTCATACTGGTTCCATCATTTCAGCTTCCCAACAACCCTGTGAGTTAAGTATAATTATTATCTCCATTTTATCGATGAGGAACCTGACATGAAGAGGACAAGAAATAAAAGATCTCCATAAGTAAGAAAATTTTATTTAAAGAAAAATAAGAAACTGATCCAATAAAATTATTGAAGGAAATTTACTATAGTCATGTGAAATTTGAAAAATTTTTGGATGAAAATGCTAGTAACTACTCTTATAACCTGGAGCTTTATGTAGAAAGAAAATACTAGTGAATCCCTGAGAAACTATACCTCTGACAACTCGTATGTTTTGAGATTTAAAAATTTGTTTAATGCTAAAGTGAAAGTTGCTCAGTTGTGCCAACTCTTTGTGACCCTGCAGTACTGGGGTACTGGAGTGGGTAGCCTTTCCCTTCTGCAGGGGATCTTCCCAACCCAGGGATGGAACCCAGCCCCCCCACATTGTGGGAGGATTCTTCACCAGCTGAGCCACAAGGGAAACCCAAGAATACTGGAGTGGGTAGCCAATCCCTTCTCCAGCAGATCTTCCCAACCTAGGAATCAAACCACCCTCTCCTGTATTGCAGGATTCTTTACCAACTGGCTGTCAGGGAAGCCCTATTATACAATAAACAGTTACTTAATGGATGATCCACTCCCCTTCCCAGTTTTCACCATCAGCATCTCTCACTAGGCTGGACTAGCAGGGGGATTCCAGCCCCTGAGGACCCAAAACTATGAACCCTCCCTCGAGGCCAAGCCCTTCTCTGGGCCAAGAAGAAAAGTTGCTGGATTGAACCCTTCACCCACTGCAGACATGGCCCTAGAATGGGTGGAATGCAACTGGAAAAAAAAAAATAAATAATCACCAGCCCCTCTGTGTTAGTTTTCCCTAGAAAAGCAGTGCCTTAAGAAAACCAAAACTGTATTTTCTCACCCTAACTTAAGAAATAATGCCAGGTTTACTTTGACTCTTATGGAAAAATAGCCATACATTTGAAAAAGTCAGGATTTTTCTGTAAATTTGAGGCCCCTTTCCTCAACCTCTAGAAAAAATACTTATGAAAACCAAGTAAATACACACAGATAACCAACAGAATTATTAAGCCATCTTGGTGAATGGATTTCTAGAGTTTATTAACTCTTGTGTTTATAAGGAAAGAATTAATCCTAACCCCATATGGTATGGTTGATAGTGCTTGTTAAATTGAAATTAAATTAGCTCTAGACTGGCTAACTATTAGAAAGCAGGTAAGAATAGATAGGGCTTCCCTGGGAGCTCAGTCAGTAAAGAGTCTGCTGCAATGCAGGAGACCTGAGTTCGATCCCAGGGTTGGGAAGATCCCCTGGAGAAGGGAATGGCAAGCCATTCAAGTATTCTTGCCTGAAAAGTCCCATGGACAGAGGAGCCTGGAGGGCTACAGTCCATGAGGTCGCAAGAGTTGGAGACCCTTTAGTGACTAAACCTAGCTCCCTAAGGGGAGACAAATGCATACTACTTTAATCGTTCAGCATCTCAATGAGCATCAGTGAGCTATTTCTGCAGCTTGTTTGTGGGGTCTTACTCTATCTAAGGCACTGTGTTAACCCTTAGAGGGATAACAAAGATAACCTATTCCTTAAAGAAGGTAATTTTAATGACCTACAGAGTATTTTATAAATTCTACTGAAAAACATATTTGGCACTATTAATGTCATTTGTAGAAAAACCTCTTTCCTCCAACATAATAAAATTCAGAAAAATTTTTCTTGCTTCATAAAATGGAAGAGTCCCACTGATTTCCATAAAATTAACAAAACCATGAGTTTTTACAGTCCATCTGAAATGTTCTTATTCTTATAATTTCAGTACAAACAGACCAGCATATATGTTTTCTAGAAAATTCCTGGCATGAATTTCATACGAAAGGCATGCTTTGGAGAGCTAGATAAGAATATGGTAGATAACCATAAAAGCTGCTTTTGGGGACTTCCTTGGTGGTTCATTGGTTAAGATCCCTTGCTTCCACAGCAGGGCGCATGGGTTTGATCCCTGGTGGAGGAACTAAGATCCCACATGCTGCATGGTGCAACCAAAAATGTTTTTTTAAAAACCCTGCTTCTCATCCTCTGAATCCTTCAAAAACTATTTCTAACATAAAGTTGCCAGAAACACCAGTGTTTCTACACTTCTGGTAGAATATGCTGTAGAAGCAATTTCAAAGACCTATGTCCATAATGGTTACTCAATTAATATCTATTAAGTGACAAATTAGAAAATGGAGCAGGTAGAGTTTTCAGTTTTGAATAAGAAGCTGTTAAATTGATAGAAACACTGCTCCAAAGTATATGGGACAAGCATCTAATGCAATGATTTTCATTCTTTTAGGAGAAAACCCAGCACTGAAATTGAATTTCTTGAGAAGCTGGAAGAAACCAAGCTCGCTGTAGATGAAAATGAAGACCATGAAGAGCTCCAAGTTAAAATACAAGCTTTTGAAGACAAAATAAACGCTGAGGGCAACACCCCTGGCTCTATCAGAAGATGTAGTTTGGATCAAGTTTCTAAGGAAGAAAGAAAAGGCATTAGATTTAACAGGTATAAATTTTGTTTGGCTGATCTTCAGGATATGTACTTCATGTGTGCTGTTAGTTCTGCTGTCCCACTTTTATGAAGTAGTTTTAACATATCTTTTACCTACAGCAAAATTCATCCACAGTGCTTTCATTATCCAAAGTAGTTTGCTATATTAAAAGGAGAACACAGGGAGCCGGAATAGCTCAGTTGGGAGAGTGTTAGACTCTAAAAGGAGAACACAAATAAAAATCACAAATCTATGGCTTATTTTTAAAAAAACACTTCTTAAATATAAATATGCTAACATCAAGAATGACTAGCAAAAGCTTTTCTTGATTTCTGATGAAAAAGCATAAGCAAAAGTAGAAAAAAAAAAGAATATAAATATATAACTCTACCATTTCCCAGCCAGTTTGCTGTGAAACTGATTTTTAAAGCTTTGTTTTGGGAAGTAGCCTAGATCTACAAAGATTTGTCTTATTATACAATGTGTATGTTTTATCAAATCTATTAATAGCACTAATTTTTCAGTTTCACACTCTAGAGGAAGGAACTTTTGCCTCAGTGTTATTGTTCTTTCTTTTCCTTGTCAGTGAACAATAGCTCGGCTTCTTTACCTGCCTCAACCTTCCCGTTGTTTGTGTTGCAGGTCGAAGAGTTTGGCTTTGCACGCTGTGCTAACAAACCCCTTGAGCACAGAGGATGGGGAAACTGTGAAGAGCAGAGATACGCCAGCCAGCATCTCTCTTTCAGAAATAGACCCACTTGGCCAAGGACATGAGAGGTCACTCTTTAAGCCAGACACAGATGAATCACAGCTACTAAATTCTTCAGTTTCACACCAAAGTATTATACATGTAGCATCTGAGAATTTGCCAGAAGCAGTTAAAAAAAACTATCAGGAAGAAATTCCAGAGACAACCACGAGTCCTGTAGAATACCGTGATAAGCTCTACTTGCACTTAAAGGAGAACTTCAGTAAAGTGAAAGCATATGCTGTAGAAATGGTAAAGAAGATTCCAGTCCCTGACCAGTGTACCATTGAAGGTAAGTGACCTGAACTCCCCAAACTTAAGAAATTTCAGGCATCACTAGAAAAAAACAAATAAAACTCCAGTAGTATAAATTGCTGTACCCTTCTGAATCTTTTGCAAAATAGATAATTTGAAAACACCCTTATATTATTTTGATTGCTCTTTTCTCCCAATAAATTCAGTCACCTTTTTTATTCCATCTCAGTCTACCTAAGTCCACCAACTCTGATTTTTCCAAACCTCAGAATAAATTGTTTCTGGTTTCCTATTACTAGTGTTTAAGAAAATTCTGGAAAGGGATCCATGGCCCCCAAACAGGCTCTGGGGTAGGCATCCAACCAAAGGCATTTTCCATCCTCATGCCAGAAAGCTATGGGGCTCCAGGAGATTCTTCTTCTGTTTATTCAACGAGCACTTATGAAGCAGCTACTGTATGCCAGGTACTGTGCTGAAGGTTCAGTTATGAACCACATGTACTCCATCACCTCTTGGAGGTTAGACTATAGAGAGAAAAGATGGAAACCATGGTCGGGAGGTGATATAGGTCAGGAGCCAGTGACAATGTGAACTAGTCAGAAAAAATCAAACAAAGTAAGAAAAGAACATCAGGGCCAGAACTTCCCTGAGGTGCACAATTTAAGGAGATACCAAAAAAGCTCAGTAAAATTTTAAGTAAAGTCAGAGTTAGTAACAATGTCTTGCCAAGCCATATTGGAGCTTAAGCGAAAGGAGTTAAGTAGTAATATTGATCATGTCTTTATTTGCAGTTTTGATATTATTTATTCTTTTTGTGGGGCTTCCCCAGTAGCTCAGCTGGTAAAGAATCCTCCTGCAATGCAGGAGACCCCAGTTCGATTCCTGGGTCAGGAAGATCCCCTGGAGAAGAGATAGGCTACCCACTCTAGAATTCTGGGGCTTCCCTAGTGGTTCAGAGGGTAAAGAATCCCCCTGCAGTGCAGGAGACCTGGGTTTGATCCCTGGATTGGGAAGATCCCCTGGAGGAAGGCATGGCAAGCCACTCCAGTATTCTTGCCTGGAGAATCTCCATGGACAAAGGTGCCTGGTGGGCTGCAGTCCATGGGGTCACAAAGAGTTGGACATGACCAAGCCCAGCACAACATCCATTTTGTATTAGTTTTTATTTTTAAAAATATTATTTACCTTGACTACTAAATTTTCTGATGCTCTGTTAAGTTCTGTGCCCTGGTCCTGTCCCCAGGAAAGATGACAGGTTGGAGACACAGGTACTAAAATGGAAGCATGCCCAAGGCAGGCTAACCCTTCTGGCAGTGGGTTGAGCAGGTGTGGGTGGCTGAAGGCACTTGGCAGCTAATTAGATCTTTCCTACAATCACTCTTAGGCAACAGCCATGTTCTTCTCTTGAGATTTAGATGACAGTCCTCGCCCACTTGTAGGTCATGACATCTTTTCACAGGTTACAGCTCTCATAGAAAAAAGCCAGGCAGCACCTCGTCTAGAAAGTAGCACAGCTGTGGGATAGTGAATTTAATTCATATTTACCCACCTTACTGACTATCATCTCCTTTCATGTTTAGGGACTAGAAGGGTTTTTCTATTCTCTACTTATTACTCCCATCTCCCACTCCAGATCAGATGAAAGAGTGGATTCTCATGCTCACAAAAGAAAAGGAGGATTCAAACATTTGATAATGGCAATTACTACTGTTTAGCATGTTTGTATAGAATCTTGACATTTTCTTGTTTTAATTGAAGTATAGTAGACTTACAGTGTTGTGTTAGTTTCAGATGTACAGCAAACTGATTCAGCTATATATACATATGTATATTCTTTTTCAGATTCTTCTCCCTTATAGATTATTACAAAATATTGAGTTTATCTCCCTCTGCTATATAGTAGGTCCTGTTGGTTATCTATTTTATATATAGTAGTGTACATATGTTAACCCCAAACTCCTAATTTATCCCTCCCTGCCTTTCCCCTTTGGTAACCATAAGTTTTTTATCTATTGTTTGTGGATCTACTTTTGTCTTGTGTATAAGTTCATTTTGTACCATTTTTTTTTAGATTCCACATATAAGCAAATCATGATATTTTTCTTTCTCTGTCCAGCTTACTTCACTTAGTGTGGTGATCTCTAGGAAATCTGACACATTCAAAAGCTTTTACATTAATTTATTGATTAACTTTCTTAAACTTATTTTATAAAATGGTAACAATAAAAGTGACATTGCTCATATTAAATTTAAGTTTTGGATAATTAAGTATACCAGGACTTGAAAGTGGCTGAAATCAGTAAGACTGAATTAACACAAACTCTTTAAATTGCTTGTTTCGCTAATAAGTTAACACAAATGTTGGAGAATTTAATATAAGAAAGGTTAAGTGAATTTTCCAGTTTGATAGAGGATGTCTGTAGCAAAATATTATTTTTGCAAAAATAATATTTCATCTACCAGAATAGTTGGGGTTTTTTTTTAAGTTTAACTTAAATCATTTAAGATGTGCTATACGGTGATATTTAAACTTGTGAAAATGTGAAAGAAAACTGGCAGAGTTACTTCAAGTATCTAGCTGTCAAAAACGTATTTCTCATGGCCCTGAATTATTTTGGGAGTTTTAGAGTTAACTAGGTGACTTTGGGTTTTCTCCTAAAATATTGAAAGAATCCATCATTTTTATTAAAAAAAAATTTTTCTTTTCATATTTTCTACCAAAAATGACCTGGAACTGAGAATGTACTTTTTTAAGTTGGCATTTTGGATTCATTCATGCTTTTGTAATTTCCTAGAAGTTGCTGATAAATTCTTTGCACTGGGATGTGTGTGAGGGATTGAAGATTTATATGACTCACTGTAAACACATCCACCAAAAAAGGACTCATGGTAACTGCAGGGGACACATTGTTATTATTTCAGAGATTGTGTAAACCACTCAGCAAAACGCCAGCAGTCATCTGGCCAACACAGTTTTGCTTATGTCATGAGATCACTCAGCTCAACAATACTGTGTTTCTTTTCTTAACAATTTATTGAAGAAAGATTTAGGCTTAGAATCTGTGTTCTGTTTTATGTGTCATCAGTATAGAAGAGGCATATTTGGTCTTTTTTGATAAATTATGCAAAGTAATCAAGAAACAAAGAGGAAAACCATAAACACAACATCCACAACATTAAAAGTTAAAAAGACAAGTAAGCCAGCAGGAAATAAGAACAAAAACAAAGTATTAGGATTAATTTTAGACTGATGTTACAAAGTCCATGCTAAAAGGACATGACAAAACAATCTCTTAAAAAAGTTCTTTTGGTATTGGTTTGACTCATATGAAAACAAGAAAATGATGTTCAGCTTCCTTATTTTGACCAACAAAAACATCACTTTCATACAGTTCAGCCTAATACTTCAGTAATAAAACATACTGAAAGAGCAGGAGCCTCACTAGTCACTGTACAACAGAATTCAATATGTGGTGAATCAAGTCACAAATAGAATTTTTATCCTCAGTCAGCCGCCTTATTCCTGCATAATATTGATCCCAGTGGGGACAGGCAGTGGTGTAAATAGGTCAGCACAAATCTATCATCGTATCTAGAAAACCCTAGGTCTTATTTAAGAATTCGGGTCAGCAGTTCATTTTGAGTATGCAAGAGCCTGTTATTCCTAAGTCAGTTATTCTCTCCTGGGCACCACTGAAAGTTGTATATTCATATGAGAGTGCTAGTCTAATATCTGCCCAGTTATATTTACACAAAAGACCAAAGGAATTTAGTTTATCTTCCAAGGATGTATTTTAAAAATCTGAATCACTGGTATTCATTTACGTGAACAAAAAATGATTTAGAGGTTAAAAACGAAGCACATGATATGGAAATAAATCTTTGAAAGTCTGGCCCATCACTGGAGTTCTATAAAGGAAGATATAAAATCTTACAAGAACCCATCAATGCTGCTTTGGTTCACTTTGAAGTATTTCCTGATTGAGTGAAAATACATCCCATCTGTAGAGCAAGTCAGCACAGCTGACTTGCAGAAAGCTAATTTTAAAGCTGGTAATGTAGTCCTTTCTTGAAAGACCCACATGAGTTGATTTTTCCTGACTTGAACAGATATGAGAATATGCAAAAAAAAAAAAAAAGTTCATTGTAAATATCAAGAACAGCAGGTGCTATCTTCATAATTAATTACAAGTAAGACTTCCTTATTGAAATTTTGTATGCAGTCAAGTTCAGCCTTATATTGGGATGACTGAGGAGGCAAAGCCCACACCAGTCCTTACCTCTTTCTCCCCAGTTGGTCCAATAAGGAGGATAATGGTAACATTGATCCACTTTCTTCCTTTCTGTAGAGATTCCTTTCTTCCTTCTTTTAGAGTAGATTGGTTTAATCCTAGGGTTAGTACCATTTACCCATGGAGAAAGTTGTAATATTTGTAGGAAGAGAAAAATCCTAAAGTTTTTCCATACAATTTAAAAGGGAAAAACAACAAATAGGAAGATGTCACAAATTCCCTGGAGCCTCATTTCTTTGAAGTGGTCCACTGAACCCTTGTTTGAAGAGCACATGTTAGGGGGGAAGAAATTTCTAGAGAATTTTTCTTGGTGCTTTGGAATTTATCTTGGGTTACCTACTCACCAGTTGCCATTTCTCCAGAGTGAATTTTCATCAAAAGAAGACAGATAGGGATCTCCCTGGTGATCCAGTGGCTAAGACTCCACACTCCCAATGCAGGGAGCCCGGGTTCAATCCCTAGTCAGGGAACTAGATCCCACATGCTGCAACTAAGAGTTCGCATGCCACAACTGAAGTGCCTACAAACTGTACTAAAACCTGGTGCAGCCAAATAAAAGAAAAAAAAGAGAAGACAGGTAAAATGGTGGCTGAATTCTCTTTTTCACTTTCTCCTGCCACACATATCCTGGTTTCTGTCATCTACACTGGCCCATGAGAAACATCCAGATAATATGGCTAAAGGAAGATCTACAGTCCTTTTGAAAAGATCCCTTCTGAACCCTTCCTTTGAGTTAATATCAAAT